CTTCTGATAACATCCATCAGTTTTTGTTGTTTTTTTTTTTTCCTGCTATTCTCATAGAGCTAATAACTTCAGTCAAGAGTAATCAATGACACTATGATTTTCCTCCACCCCTGTGGCTGCCAGTTGCAAGTTCAGTATCTTGTAGGTATAATTTAGGCTATTTTCTGTATCTATACTACCTTACATTTACCCACAGAAGTTTATTGGCCAATGTCTTGCCTAATCACTCAGTTGTGTGAGTTCCTTGCCAAGTGAGGCAACAGTTGGTTAATGAGAAGAGCTTAATGTCACCTACAGAGCTGGAGATCTCAGCTCTTACTCTCTTCCTCATGCCATTGATGAAAATGTTGAAAAAGTGAAACCCAGTGTCATTCCTTGGGGAACCATATTGCTGACTCCCCTCCATCCTGAATGATGACCATTTTGCTTCCAATCCTTTAACCAGCTTTCAAGCCATAAAGATTGCTCCTGTAGTCCTTTGTAGTCCTGGAAGTGTTGGAGCGGGTCCAGAGGAGGGCCACAAAAATGATCCGGGGGCTGGAGCACCTCTCTTATGAGGACAGGCTGAGGGAGTTGGGCTTGTTCAGCCTGGAGAAGAGAAGGCTGCGGGGAGACCTGATTGCAGCCTTTCAGTACCTAAAGGGGGCCTATAGGAAAGACGGGGAAAATCTTTTTAGTAGGGCCAGCTGTGTCAGGACAAGGGGTAATGGTTTTAAACTAAACCAGGGTAGGTTTAGACTAGATATAAGGAAGAAGTTCTTTACAGTGAGGGTGGTGAAACACTGGAACAGGTTGCCCAGAGGGGTGGTGGAGGCCCCATCCCTGGAAACATTCAAGACCAGGTTGGACGGGGCTCTGAGCAGCCTGATCTAGTTAGCGGTGTCCCTGCTCCTGCAGGGGGGTTGGACTAGATGACCTCTAGGGGTCCCTTCCAACCCAAAACATTCTATGATTCTATGATTCTATGTGAATGTAGTTTCTTGAATGTCCTGTAATGTGGAACCTTGTCGGGGATGTGTGTGTCCATGAGATCCTCTTTACTCAGGACACAACTGAAGCCATGTTGACTCTCTCCCAACTAGGTAAGCCCATGCTTACCTAGATGCTCAGGGATCTTAGTCTTTTTTTATCGGCTATTACAGCACCAGAAAAGGAACCTCAACACTCCTTAGTCAATAGTTCAAAGGATCCCCAAAAGATCCCCTTTCCCACAGGCAGGAATTACACTGGAGTCTGCCATTCCTCTGGCAGATTGGCTGTTTGAAACAACAGCTTATGCACCATGGCAAGCAGTTCTGTAATTTCCCAATTGCGTTATTCCAGGAATCTCACATGACTGTCACCCCAGGTACCTGTTAGCATCTAACATACCTATTTGGTCTTATATTCTCATGTATTTCTTTCAACTTGATCCAGTTTCTCTGACATCTCTGCTATAAGGAACATGCAAGGAATGAGAACCCCAGCAACATTTCAGCTGGAAAGGCCAACACAAATGATTCACTGAACTTCCCTTTCATAGCTCTATCATCCCTGAGTGTGTCCCTTTCACACCTGTGTTATCAGATGGTCCCACTGACTCCCTAGCTGCCTTCCTGCTTTTGATGTATTTCGAATCTCTTTTACTACTAGTTTGAGCATCTTTTCTACAGAACTCTTCAAATTCTTCTGTACCACATAATTTTCTGTTTACAATTGTCCTATTAGGCACTAGGGCCTCCACTGGCCTCGTCATGCAGGCAAGATTTCAATTTTTAATATATTTTTAGAATAAGCAAATGACTGCTTCTCAGTCACTAAAGATGACAATTAAAACTGAACAACCTCCCCCGCCCCTGCCCCCGAACAACCCAGAACTTAAAACACGTCCTCCAGAACTAAGCAGCAAATTCCCTCCAGAATAAATGACAAAACAATTACAATTCAGGTATTCCTTTTCTTTAAGAAAGGTATGAGAAATGGTAAGTTGTAACTTTTGGTCACTACTGTAGCTAGCCAGTGTGTGTCTGGGAAGAAGTAAGCCCGCTGTGCACCAGCCTAGCACAAACTCTGTGCACCACTTAGATCCCACTTATTCCAACAAAATAGAATCTAAGTGGGTTTTAATTAGCAGAGAGGCCTACTCTGGCCCTTGTGAGCTGGAGTGAATTTTACCTTTACTTCTCAGCTGAACTTGACTGATTTGACAATCATTAGTTGAAATTTTACATATTCATGAGGCTGGAGGGACAATGTATTAACACAGAGGGATTGTTGGTGAAAAAGAAAGACCAAATTCAAAAAGCAAGTAAACTTGGGTGGGAATGCCTATGAGTGCAGAAGGCTATTGCTTCCCTGCATGCAGGGAAGGCAGGACAAGGTGCATGCACGCAGCCCCCCACTCTGCTCCCCAGCTTGCTGGGACTCCGGCCACAGGCTGGGCACATTCTCAAAACATTCTCATTATTTTCTGACAAAACTGGTGGTTTGGTCTGTGCTGCTTCTCTGAATGATGATAGAGCATGTCGAAGCAGTAAAATTAACTTCCTTTCAAATTCATACAGAGAAGGAAGATGCATTTTTGCTGTGTAGACACAAAACTCCTTCAACCTGATTCACACACATCTAACTAACAGTTCTGTACTACAGATGCCGAAGGAATCACAGCCAGAGCTATCTGCATTATAGCATCCTGATTTCACTAATTAAATTTAAAATGAATGTCATTTTACTGTGCAACTTTCCATCCGTGGTTCCCATCTAAAAGTCTTTTCTTTTACAATGTTGTATAAGGGTGATGGGAGGATGATTTCAGCACAAGTCACTCATCTGTTTTCAATGGATACAGGCAGAGTTAAAATGTACGTTTCCATTTTGAGATAAAGCCGACATTCTTGTTAGTAGAATATTCAGGAACAGCAGAGCATAAACATTCAGAATTGTGCAGATGATATCACTGGCTGATGAAAGACTGTCCTCTGGCTCCTAGTCTGGAGGCATCTTTCCTTTTGCTTGATGTTTAGTTGTTGTGCTTCAAGTGAGTGCAGGAGTATTACCAGGACTGGGTACTAACTAAGTGTGAAGAAAATTTGAAATAATAATTAGGTTTTTTGCCTGCCAACTACAGTAATTCTATTAGACTTTCAAATGTGTGTCTGTGACATTGAGGAGTTATGACCAAGAGTAACTGAATTTTCTGTGGGTTCAAACTTTTTAATTATACAAAATATAGTATCACATTCCATGATGTCAGTTATTTTTCTTTCCTTCTTTACTTTTTAAAACCAGAAGATACTTAAAGTCATACATTAGCACATCATTAAAGTTGCAGTTTTTGCTATTTGAAAGCATATACTTTGATTTCAACAGGAGTTAAGACTGCGGCTAAGTATTCTTCCTGGACAGAATCACAGTCCTGATTGGGGGCCTCCTTTTATTAAATTGTGTGGATATCTACATCACATCTATACAGTAGACTCATTGCAGAGATAAAGACACATTCCCTTTTTGCTTTGAGTAGGAAATATTATGCCTTTTGGACTCACTTCTCTGGCTGTCTTGCCTTCAGGGTTTGGTCTCCTACATACTTGCAGAGCATCCCTAAAAGCTTGCATCTCAAAATGGAGGCAGGGGGCCTACCCCTCTCCTCTTGCTGAGTTCAATGGTTGTAGAACTCACCTGAGGTAAATAACTTTGCCTCCCCTGAATATTACTCTGTTATACCCAACTTTCCATGTATCAAGGCTCACAGAATGGCATGTCTGCCTTGCAGCTGCAGAAAGGTGCCTAAGTGAAGAAGCAGGAGGCATTTGTTGTAGGGACTACCCTAGCCATACCTGCTGGCTTATCATGCAGGGCTTGATGGATTCAGCTACCAGTCACGGATGCCCGAAACAGGAAAAATGCAAATAACAAAAGAAGCTTTACTTTTTATTGAAAATGTAAAAATCATGTGAATCATGTACAATATTTTCTCATAAGGAAAATTTTAGCTGTTTCAATAACGTTTCACAAGACTGTAAAACATTTCATTTTATAAAGACTTTTTCATAAAACAATGATAAAACTAAAATAGTATTACAAAGCTATTTTCTAAATCATCAACAGAGCACTGAAAATGTTTTACAGATTAATTCATACAAGTGGCAGGAGGAAGGACTCTTCCATTTGCAAATCTGCAGGAGGACACACAAAGGTATAGAGGGGCGTAGGATTTTTTGTTTCAAAACGTTTAAAATCAAGTGACATGTTAAAACAGTACAGACGTGGATTCATAGGATGGTACAAGTTCTAGGACTGCATTTCTCTACACTACCTCAAACAGTGCAACAGTGATTCAGTGTAAATCTCTACAGTGTTTCATTGCTTCAATACTTGTGTTCAAGTATGTGTCCATGAGAATGATCAAAATCCCTACTTAGCTATTTTAATTTTCTTGTTTATAATATGTTATAAATTACAGTAGATTATCCCCTTCAGCATGTTTCAGATGAACTGATTTCACAATACATTCTGTAATAACCTGTTCAATAATGTTAGCTTACTCACCTCGACATCTGTTGCAAAATACACAAGATCATTCTGACTCTGAATGCCAAAAATATAATAAAATTAAAAAGGGCTTTATTTCCATATACAACAAAACTATTCAGCTAAATTAAAATAAATTCAAGATAACATGACTTTTTTTCGGCAACAGAAAGACGACCCTACTGAAAATAAACATTTAAAATACTAGTTACTATTTTTTAAAAATTCTGATAAATGTATCCAAAATTGTTCATATAAAAATTAATTATGAAAACGTCAGAGGATAAAACAAGTTGGCTGTCTAAGCACAACAATTAAGGATGTCTGGCAGGCAAAAATAAATTAATTTGATTAAATTATATGTAATCTGATAATATTTGGTCTGAAGAAGCGTGCATGTGTGTGTGTGTGTGTGTGTGTACGTGTGTGTCGGTGTGTGTTTATAAATAATAAGATTGCAAAGAGCTGAGAGCCAGCCAGCCTGACAGAGGTCAACTCTTCTGTTGCATTTTTTGCGCATAAAAGTCCCTGCACGTCTCACAGCACCGCTGGTACCACCTCATGTCTTGACAGAGGTTCTTCTCTCTTATCACCCTGCAGTACACAGGCCACTGGTCTCCCAGGCACTTGAAAGTTAAAGCAGCTGTGAAACAACAACAACAAACCCAAACATACATTACTGAAACATTTATTAGTGAAGAATCAGGTAGCAAAGATGACAAGGACACCACAAGTGTATCTGGGGAAGGGAAAGGAGAATAAATGTAGATATTCAACAAAGGAAAAACAAAACAAAAAAATCCTCCTGCTGTCAATATTTTCAACATTAACATTTTTTAAGGCCAGCTTAATTTATAAATTGGATTAAGTTGCATTGAAACTAACTGGTTTAGTGCCACGCAGCTGTCTTCTCATGAGAGAGTGAGGCCCATCTTTCTGCCCTGTACAGAAGTGGGCTGGGACTGGGGCCAGGGCTGCGTGGAGGCTGCAGAGCCAGCTCCGGCAGAGCCAGCTCCAGCAAAGCCGCATGAAGCCGCAGCTCCGGCTGAAACTGCCCTCACTCTGAGATGCAAGTTGCCACTGGAAAACCAGGAAGCCTCAGCTTGAATAATATCAGAATGGGGTTCTCAATGACACCTATAAGAGGATTTTTTTTTTTTTTTATCAGAGACAGGCAGGGAAATGTAGGAATTTAAAGCGTGGAGACTGCTGCTGTTTTCTGGTCAGCTTTTGCTCTAGAAATCAAGACTTTGTGCTATGCTGTCAATGAATGGTAACTGAACAAAACTACATGACATCTTACATCATCTTTCTTTGTAACCGAAGTAATCTAGCAGACCTTTAGTTTTGTCTGGCTGCTTTGTTCAAAGGAACAGAAATATATTGTCTTGCTAGCTCCAGCGCTACAGACTCCACACTATGAGGCACTTGTATAAGGTCTGAAGACAGTTAGCAAGTCCCATGATACTCTTCGTAATGCCAATCCATTTTATCTAGAAAAATGAAACTTACAGTATGGAATCAATGACAGTCGCTGTGTTGGGAAATACACTTGTTCAGGCCCAGTTATCACATTTTGTGCTTCTCAAGTGAAGAAACACTGCGCATTTCTTACCTTCCTGATCTTTTTCTCTCCTCTCCAAGTACATTCAATTTTTTTTTTTTTTTTTAAATTGTCTTCCAATACATTGGTCTGACTGCATCACCTCTTTTTAATCACTCAGGTGGGTCTTCCCTCCTCCACGTAAAAGTCAGGCTACTAATCCTTACCTTCACAACTTTCATGTCTTATCTTCACCCAGTTATTCAGGTTGCTCCAGTACTAGTCTGTTCTTGCTTTCTAACTGTGGGATTCCCTGACTACCAAATTCTTCCTGAGAAACCTTCAAAACTGACAAGGACATCACACTGGCCTGAAAAGCTACTGTTTGGTTTATTCTACCTCTTCCCACAGTTGTTATAACTACTCAGTTCCCTCTAGCTGTCATAAATGTTCAGTTGCAGAAGCCAGACTTCTGCTGTATGCCTGTTGTACAAAACAGGCATATTTTCATGTGTGTTGCCTTTTTTTCATGTGAAGCCAGCTGTTAATTCACCCACCTGTTTTGCTTATGAAAGCCTCTTACCATGCTTATCATAGAAGCACCCTGGTACCAAATTTGGTCTTTGCACATTCAGTTATTCAAGCTGTAGTGCACACATGGAATTGATATGGGAAAATAGTGAAAAATAGGGCACAAGAAACACATAATCCAAAAATCATCATAAACACTGAACTGAAAAAAAGGTCAATCTCATAGAAGATTTGAGTTATTTCCCTTTTTTAACAGAAGCGAAAGAGAAGCTGAGAGTGTAAAAGAGGAGAGGTGGTGCAATCCTCATCAGCTTCCACTAGCCTTACCCCCAAATCCAGAGGATCTATACCGCATAATGGGACTGGAAGCCTAAATGATCAATATATTCAAGAGAAGCACTGAATCATGTATTTTGGAGATGTTAATGTTTCTACTGGACTGGATTCTGACTCCTGCTGGATGAGACTGACCCGTAGACTACTAACATCAGTGCTACATAATCCATTCTATATAGCCCAATCTTTTTTTGTGCACTTAAATCAAATTTTAATGAATCTGATGCTGTATTTTTTTCTGTGAAACTTCATGATTCACTTTACTCTGTGACACAAAGCTGCTTATACCTCACCAGAGGGAGAATGTCAGTGATGGAGTGATGGCTTGTTGCTTCTGAGAGATCAGTTGTACAAAGAAAGATAAAGTACAAAGGGCAACCTTACAACAGTGAAATAGCAGAGGAGAGGGTCATAAGCAACAGCTGCCGTCTCATCCAGCAAACTGCAACAATGACTACTACACAAATCTGTTCAAGGGTTAAAAACTTCAAAGAGAAATACCCCTGCACTGACTTTAAGGAAGGATTGCATACAGCCTGAAACGTCAAGGTTTGCTTTCCATGCAGGAGTAATCTATTTGACAGGAGGGTTTATCTTAACAAGGGCTCTGGAAAACCATCTGGAAAGGCTACGCTGTCTTACGGCAAGCCTTTGAATATTCCCAGGTCATGCAGATAAATGATTTGGGGAGCTAATGGCAAGACCATCATCAACAACCCACTAGGAAATAATAATTAACAGAATTAACAGTTCTGTAGTTATGCAGTAATATAATTCTTTAAGACCAACAGAGACCCGAGTTCCTTCAGGAACAGCAAGTCTCTTCACGTTTGTAATTTTTCTTCACACGTCCTAATCCATCAGGCATACATTGTAGACGTTTCAACTAAAGACAAGTGGAAAGAGGTATCTGTATTTGAGGAACAAATAAGGGCCTCCTTGATCTCACAAATATCTCGAGAACATAGTTTGCAGAGCTTTTACAGAGAAAATAAGGTATTTTCTTACCTTAGAAATGTTTGGTAAAATTGAGTGTACAAATATATATATTCTCTATATACAAATATATATATTTCTCTAATAGAAACATTTTAATCTCTGATGTTTTATGTCCATAATGTCATACAGTCCCACAGTATGGTCCTTCCTTGGATAGCAAAAGCCTTCCCCATTCTGAGGTGCAGTCTCTGATGTACACACTGGAAAACTGTGGCAGAGAGATGAGTCTCTGCATAGAGTGTACATCTCCTGAGTCCTACCCCTCTGTTTTTAAACTGAGATCATCATTACTCTACAGAGAGAAAGACTTAAAAAGAGATCTCCAATGGGAATGTGTAATTTTGACTGCTTACCTAACCTGGGTGATGTTATTGTGTTAACATTAATTTTCTCATTGCAGGGGTGGAGATGACAGGGTCTGTAGGCTGCAGGCTTTTCTGAGGAAAAGCATTCATTGCCGTGCCTTCCCGTGATCTTGTGCATGCACTGGATGACTCGGGACTGCATCCCTTTGCCACAGGTGATGGAGCACTAGAACACACAGAAGACACACATTCGTCTAAAAGGTATTTTTGCCTGTAAACATGAAAGTGAAATGCCGGTCCAGGTGAAGTAAGTGTCTGCTCCTTCCATTGTCAGCATTCCAAGATTTCTGCCTTCAATTCCATTAGCTGAATGAAAATCAATTTAAAAAGCACAAATAAATTGGCAGTATGTATTGAAGGGCTGACTCCAGCATCCTGTTGCTGTCAAGGTCCATTTTGTAGAGCCTGTGATGAAACTGAAACACAGCAATGTGCCTGAAGGGAGAAATGGCTGTTCTCCTAGACCAGTAACCTAATTTACTCTTATTAGAGGTGAAAGTGAGGGAACAAAAGAAAATGCTTACAGACACTGACAGAGAGAAGCATTTTTAGTTAAGCTGTTACTCCTGCCAGTGCAAAAGTGCTCTTTCTACTGAGCAAAGACTATATTCCTCCTGTGTTTGTGTCATATGCTTCATGTTTTCATGTGTGTCCCACGAATGAAATACACAACGTGAGACATGCTGCCTGGCCTTTAAGCAGCCTTCCCATCTTGTTGCCACAGAGAATGAGGTGAGAAGATAAAACGGCTGAGCACTGTAACAACGGTAACGTTCTAGTTCTATCACAGTAACTTAATATGTAATAAAGAAAACTTGGGCAGTGCTGTACAGATGCATGCAAAACCTATGCCAAACCAACAAAACACATGCTTTCCCCTTTGCTGACTTTTTGTGAAAAAAATTTCACAGGGCATGAATTATTTTTGTGTCCATTGACATATATTCTATTGCTTTAACTACAAATTCATTCAAAAAATTATATACCCCAATTTGCTCCTACCTGCCTTCGATTTTGACTCAAGTACCCACAAATTTCATTAAGTTTTGGAGAAGTTTACTATAGAGGACATCTTCAAATAATCAATTCTTTGCAGTGAACGATATGAGCACTGGCTGAAAATTTATGCCGCTACCATCCACATAATCCTGAAAATATTTTTATTCTAAAAAATCTTAATTACATAAATATTCAGAACACGTTTCCTTGGGAGGCTTCAAGAAGCAGTTGAAAAAATACTGGAATGAAAAAGACAAGGAGAGGGTGCTATAGCAAAAGAGGTTTCCCAACCATCCTCTCTCAAGATGAAGACGGAGAACTATAGTTTTCTGAAAAGAAAGAATAAATCTTGAGTGTAGGAAATACTACTACTACTACCCTTTAATTTTGTTACCTATGTGATTTTGAGTGACATTTTAAACACTGTTACTTGGAGGAAAGATTTACACATGCCAAATGGGAAATAGAGGGCTTCCACCCAAATATATACATCAAGAGAAGTGAGATTCATGTCTTTTGGACTCATGAGACTCCAAGAGAGGTACAAGAGACTAGGATATACACTTGAAGGGTGTTTTCACAAGGGACTGAACAAGGTCCAAAGCACACTTCAACTTGTAACTGCAAGAAATCAAACACTGGCATTTTACAGAGGCAGCAAGCGGACTTGATATTGCTTCTGTTCTCAGTGGTGTATATCAGGAGTAACTCCATAAAGCCCATAAAGAACCAAATTTCTTGCAAAGTTAATCAGATACAGCCTGCATGAGCCAAGGCATGCAAAGACATTCAATTATGAATACATAATTTTCTATTCTATAGCAACCACAGCTTAACATATGAACAAATACGCTGTTTGCAGGAGGGAATCCAGCTAGTACTGAAGCCTTTTCACAGTAGAAGTCTGTCATCAACTTTGAATTCAGTATACTGCTTTTAAATTGCATGAGGAAAAGCCTCAACAGAATTCCTTTTCCTGAATTCTTTGCCTTTTCACTGTGCAGCTAAAAATAATCTGACTTCCTACAATGCCCCACATGCACGATAAACATGTACAAACACATATGTACATACCCAAATTTAATCAATAGCAGCCAGAACATCGATCTTAATCTTGGCAAAATTCCAGCCACTTCCTGGATTCCTCTCCATAATTTCAGAGAGGTTTCCTTTTGGAATATTTTAATGGAATAGCAAGTGAGACAATGGAACAACAACAAAAAAACCCCCAAAACCAACAAACAAACAACCACCACACAAAAAAACCCCAAACCTGAGAATGAAGGAAAGATGAGGGTAATACGATGAAGGTAATATGATGAAGGTAGTAAGATGAAGATAATCTTTAAAGCTCAGCACAATGATCTTAATTTAGAGTAATTTTGCACACAGTACTGTATTTTTTCCTGTCAATATAACACTTGCATGTTTATTAACCAAAGCTAGACTATGTGTGAGCGTGTAGTATGTATCTATCTTCTTTTATCAAAGGGGGAGGAGGACAGGAGAGGCGGGTGGATCTGGTACATAAGTCTAAAAATAATTTATCTGCCCTTAACCTTTGGTTATCCTAAAATTGGTAGGTGCACCGTAGCCATCTGGAGTACTGGAGGGGAGAATGGGATTTGAAAACACTGGACTTCCACTGACAAAATGGGCTCCAATGCTTTACCTACTAATTGATAATGCATAACAATTCATGTATGCAGGTGCTTTTGTGGAGAGCACTCTGGCAGCAGTCGTATCTTCTCTATATCAAATGAGCTCTGGCTTGAAAGCTTCTCGTGACTGCAACTGAGACAATACACCACAAGCAGACAGATCTCTCTCTCAGCTAATGAGTGTTTAGGCCCTCAGTTTCTATGCAGAATTTGGCAAGATTTCAGCGTTAAAATCTTAATTGGTGAATTAACAACCCCTTAATGACTGAGCTGCTACTGTGCTTTGTGAAATATTTCAGAGAGTGCTATGAAGCATTACAGTGTCATTTTCTATCCAAAGATGCATACATCTTGCAAACAATTAATTTTAGTCTTGCATGACCTACTTGTTAACAACCTAACTTTAGAGGAAGAAAATGACACTGAAGGATGACAAAATAAAATGTCTCAGTTCATATAGGAAATATGTGGCAAAGTAGGAAATATAGTAAGAAATTTGCCTTCTGTTTTATCTTCCCTTATTTTCACAGAAATGTACTGATTTTTAACTTTGTATTTATTCTTATTTTATAAAACTGAGAACTTTTATTAAATCTTGTAAGGTGTTCGGGGAAAATTGTGAAGAGGCAGGGCTACCACATTGATTTGCAATCGAAAACTTCCAAAGCCAGCCTGATCAGTTTACAAGTAGACAGGAGTTTTTCCAAACCACTAGCGTTTTAAAATCAACCAGGGATCTGATAGTCAAGCTGTGCTCCTCCTTGTTAACACGTCGACAGCAGCAGCAGTGTCTGACTTCAGAATTAAGAATTCTACTGCTTGGAAGCCAGAAAAAAATAGTATCTTTTTACTGTGTCTATATTATCTCACTTTCAAAGTAGTATGAAATAGTATGAAAAGGGGAAAATACACTTCAGGTATGGCATTTAGCAGTGCATATGCTAGCTACACAGACAAACGGTGAGATTTCCATTTGTCTCCATGAAGTTGTCTTGAATTTGTGCTGCATACACACCAGCCAACTGGTGGTATAACAGAGCAGCCACTGAATATTGGAGAATAAAATGCACCCACAATATTTTTCTTTTTCACTCTGCAAAGGGATGGACCTGGTCCAATTTCACTGGGAGACACCTCAGCTTCTGCAAACCAGATAGATGCAACTCAGAGCAACAGCTCTGACCCTCATTTTGATACTCCCTGCACATGCATGTGTCCATTCTAGCTGAAACAGGCTCTTTCAAAAGTGTCTCCTAAGCTTGTCTCACTTTTGGATTTCTCTCACTGAAAAGATTCAACCTGTGGCAAAATCCTCTCACTAGATGTGCAGCTGTCACATTTTAGGTAGCAGTTGCGGTATGCAGCTAAAGCTTCTGTATACTTATGGAATTCCCATCTTTAAAACTGTAGCAAAGCTTTCAACTTACAGCAAACTGAAGATACTTTCACTTTTACATATTGAGCAGTGAATTTAATCAGAATGCAATCTATCTGTCAAAACTGCTTGTATTTTCCATGATTTTATATATAAATATATATATTAATATGAAGCTTATGTATATAAAATTTCAGAAAATGCCCACTCTAAACCAATCTGTAGCAACTTGCATAGATTCAGCAGATCTCAGACTGATTTCAAGCTGCAGCTTTTACTACTAGTGAATGAACAATACCTTTCTACAGCTCTTCTTCCCACCCCCTCCACCTCCCACATGTCACTCTTGCACATGCTACACTTTATTTTTGTGGCGGTTAATTATATTTTACTTCTGATTGTTCAGATGACCTACACTTTAAGGCCATGTAGCTGATGAGCAAAAATTCCCATAGGACAACTGTGTTTGTAGGTTTAGACTAAATGTTCTAATATGCAGCCAGAGGTTTTTTATGTGGCTGTTAATCTGTGCATTTTGGACACAGTCCTAAAGGTACTGTAAAACCATTCAAGCAGCAAGACATATAAAACATTTCTGTTACAGATTACAAAAAATTCCTGGATAAATATAGTTAACAGCTATTTTTTTTGAAAGTTTTTGTTTCTTTCAAATAAAATCTACCCACCCTGTTTGAATTTTGTCCTACTTTTGAACTTCTTTTAGACATAATTTCAAGGACAGAAACCTAGGCATTAAATATAACAATCCTTACACTTGGCATGCACACTCATTACCCAGGATTCCTTCTTTCTGTTCCCTGCCAAAGACATATATTCTGGAGAGAATACATATTCCCAAGGCCAACAGCTGAGGAAGGTGCTGTAATGCCTTAGCTGCTTCCAGCTGGCCTTCATAAGAAGCAGGAATTCCTAAATTAAGGGAAAAATTGTTACTGGCAGACAGTAATGGTCAAAATGCATCTTTCTGGCAAGACAACAGGCAATCACTGCAGAGGCTGATACAATCCACAATGAAAAATCCAATCTGTGACAATGTTAACAGAATTGACTTGGACAATTTATTTTCAAGAATAAATGGATTGTTCAATAAAAGGTTTTTACAAGTCTAAG